CTTCACAAGTTATATTGAGGACATCCTTGACTTGTGCAAGAAAGTCGACCTGAACATGTCAGAGGCTGACAAAATCACGCATGTTCTAAAAGGCATCGCCGACGATGCCTTCACCATGCTCCTGGCAAAGAACCCCCGCACTGTGGCAGAAGTCATCACATTATGCCAAAGTTACGACGAGCTGCGGCGGCAGCGCTTGATGACCCGTCGCCCGCCACCACGTGATGCTGATCTCTCGGCCTTGTCAGCAGTTCCTAACCACGCAACCTTGCTCGCCGAAATCAAGTCGTTCGTGCGTGAGGAAGTTGCCCGCCAGGTCTCTCTACTGGCTTTTGCTTCTCCGCAACATGCTCAACAGCCGTCAAGCACACTTCTGTCTCCCCTCCGCCGAGCCATTCAGTAGGAAATCGCGGAGGTCATTCCTGAATGCCACCAGCCACCTCCTGCATCTGTGTCACTCAGCTACGCCCAAGTTGTTGCCAGGCCGCCCCCACCGATTTCTGTCACTGTCCCCCTAAATTACACCGAAACCGTCGCGAGGCCCCAGGCCTTTGGCACCTGTTCGCGTGCCATCTGTTCGCGTGCCACCTGTTCACACAAGGCACCTGTTCGCGTGCCATCTGCGCAGCCTCGACAATGACTCTGTCTCTGTGTCGTCGTTTTGTTCTCGCGCAATAACTATCGTCATGCCATACCAACTAGCCCAAGCTGCCACACTTCTAAGTTACATTTCTAGTTATTCGGGCTCTTTTTCGTGTGTTTCTCTTCATCATTCAGTCCTCGTAACCCTTATCGCAGTCTCTATTTGCCGTGCGCGCACCTTTTCCTTTTGCATTCGCACCAAGCAACTCCCTTTGGACGTTAAAGCCCTGTTTGGAGGTTGCCACCCCTCTATCGGCCATGGCATACGGGTGTGCAAAATTCTTCGGTCTGAATGGCACCGACAAGAGCGCATGTACCAGGACGCCCTGCATGTCCAGCTTCAACTGACGGATCTAACACCGGGAGTGAAGAAAAGAAGATGGCGAGAGTACTGCGACCGAATCGAGTACACTGCAAACCACCTGTGGTCACGTGAGCTCGCCAGCCTTCGTGCGCAGTGCCCAACTAAGCCTCGGCAATCAGGTGTCGTCCACTCATGCAGTGACGTCGTCCTCCCAGACTACGTCCACAACACCCTCGCTCTAGGTCCGAAGTTCGCCGTCGACCGAGGAAGGTCCGCACCTGAGCTTCTTTCAATGGTGCGCTCTGTGGCTGGCCTTGCTTCACCTGAGGATTCAGACAGGTGCATATCAGAAGGTGTCGACGTGCTCCAACGGGGTAAGCCTACCAGCAACAGCCTTCCGGTGCGGAAGACGACCAAGTTTCTTAGAGACAATGAACTTTGTGTTGTGCCGTCAGATAAGGAGGGTGGTTTCGCCGTTCTTCCTAATTGCTTGTACCTGGAAAAGGCGGTCACAGCTATCGAATCTGTTTTCAAATGTTGTACCGACATTCGTTTAGATAGGGTAAAAACGCAGGCCAGGGAAATGTGTCGTAAACTAGAGTTAAAACAGTTAGCACAGCACATTAGCAAAAGTGACAAAAATGGGCTCAGCGTGTGTTTTTTTCTGCCAAAACACATAAGGTTGACATGCCCTTCCGTGTCATTGTGACAGAAAGTGGTACGTGGCAAAAGCAACTCGGCTTGTTTATTCAGACCCATCTAAAGTGTCTAAAAATTGACGACCCATTTGTGATCAAAAACTCGCAGGCTCTGAGAATTTTTCAAACAGTCAAATCAATCTAATCTTTTCGGTTTTTCAATTGACATAAAGGACCTATACTACTCGCTGCCTCACGATGAGGTACTAGAATGTATAAGGAATAACATAGAAACTTTCGGGGAATTGAACTTCCAATTAAAAACTGGCATTAGTTCGCGGGATTTTCTTGACCTGGTTTTGCTGTATCTTACGTCTACTTTCGTTCAATGGAATGATTGCATTTATCTGCAGAAAAAGGGTGTTTCAATTGGTTCATGCATAGCACCTCTACTCAGTGATCTTCTATTGGAAAAAATGGGCAAAAAACTACAGGAAAAGTTAGAAGGCTCGCATGTCGTCAAAATATTTAGATACGTGGATGATTTCTTGGTTATTCTAAATTGTGAGTCTTCTATGTTTCACTCGTTGGCCACTCAAACTATAGGCGTGTTCGAAAATTGTTTGCAGCCTCTTGTGGTGACACATGAAATGCCCGATAATGACAAATTACGCTTTTTGGATTTAAATCTGGTTTTTAGCTCACAGCACATCTGTTGGTGTTATGAACCACGTGCGCAGAAACCTCTGCTTCCTTTTTCTTCTGCTCACAGTAAGATAGTTAAGCGAGGCATAGCACGAACCTGCCTTGAGAATGCTTTAAATAGGTCTTGCGCCCACAATATCTCTGCGAGCTTCAAAGCTCAAGTTTCCCGCCTTAAGGCTTCAGGTTTCCCCGAGGCGTTTATCGCGTCTGTTGCGGAAACGATCCTGCGGACTAATAAGGCGGAGCAGAAAACGCGACAGAATCTGATCAACACGGATACAGAACGTGAAAGGGTAGCCGTGATTCCATACATACACCAGATATCACATAGGCTCAAAAAAATCGGAAAACGTGTTGGAGTTCGTGTCATGTTCTCAGCACCGTTCAAATTAATCAGCCTCACCAAATCTACCAACCCCCTGAAAACGAAATCATCAACAGATTGCAGAGTTCAACATCGAAACAGGTATGCGGCCTGCTCCCGGAAAGTCGTCTATAGGACCCCCCTTTCATGTGGTGCTTGTTATGTCGGAACGACCGGAAGGTGTCTGAACGATCGGCTGAGAGAGCACGCGAACAGTGTTAAAAACGGGAAAGATGGTTTTCTTGCCCAGCACTGCACTGAGTGCAAGTGTGTTCCCCTCTTCGAGGAAACAGCGACGTTGTACAAACACAGAGATGTGGGCACCCGGGTCATTGTCGAGGCTGCGCAGATGGCACGCGAACAGGTGCCTTGTGTTAGCAAGCCCTCCGTGGCCTTGTCCAAGAAGGAGCGCAGGTTCCTCGAAGGATTCGGTGCGGGCAGGTAACGCGAACAGGTGCCTTGGATTAGCAAGCCCTCCGTGGCTTAGTCCGAGAAGGAACGCAGGTTCCTCGAAGGATTCGGTGCGGGCAGGTAGCTTTACCTTTCTGGTTCGGTTTCTTCTAGGTTTTTCTTTGCTGTTTTTCAGTGCCTTTGTATTTGTGTTGTTTGTTTTTGGTTTTCTTACTCATGTTCTGCTCTTGTGCCATGGTCACTGTCTCCTCTATATATTTTCGTGCTCTGCGCAATAAACTCAGTTGGAAGTTTGCGCTCGTGTCTTTCGTGTCCTTCTTGTCTCTGTGTCGTCGTTTTGTTCTCGCGCAATAACTATCGTCATGCCATACCAACTAGCCCAAGCTGCCACACTTGCAAAGACCTTTACTGCGCATGATCAAGAGCGGCAAAAAAGCATTCGCGCTGACGCCAGTACTACTGCGCCCACATTCCTCACTGGAGCGCTCGTCTGGCTCTCGATCCCTACTACTGCAACTGGCCTATCTTCAAAACTATTGCCCAAATACGAAGGCCCCTACCGTGTCGTCAAATGCACTTCCCCAGTCAACTACTTGATTGAACCCATCGAACAATCTTTGGACATGCGTCGTCGAGGACGCGACATTGTTAACGTGGAGCGCCTCAAGGCCTACCATGACCCGCTCATTGTAACCAGCTGTTAGGTTGCCAGGCGGCTCCCTTTTCGTACCCGGGGTAGTTGTGGTAAAGCCTTTGAACAGTGGGTCGTCCTCTTCAGCGCCTTCTAGTGGGTCGCCCTTTTCTTAAGAAGAAGAGCAGCTGGTGCAGAGAGTCGATCCCCGCATTGACTGTCGCTGTCGTGAATCCTCGCTGAGTGTCCGCCAATAAACCACTTAACAATATATATATTATATCACAAAGCAGAAATCAAGTAGTGCCAAACATGTTTTGTAAAAAAACCTTAAAACGTGATGTGTCGGTGATTGCGGTAGATGATCATAGGAGTATAGGAGTAGATTTCATTGAGATGTAGTTCTCGGAATGAAAGCGTGCAAATGAGTTGTGGTTCTGCATTGAGGAACATGAACTTTTTGTGGATGATCGATTCTGGTGATACGAATGAGGGGGGTTTAACAAAATGTTTGCGAAGACTATTGTTATGATAATAAAGCTTATGAAAGAGACTTAGCCAGGCTATTTTGCGCCGAATGGCGAGTTCAGGAAGGTTGAGCTGATATTTCATTAGTGTAACACTGGTTGTGCGGTATAATTGAACAAGATAAAGCGAACTGAACGATTCTGGACTTCTTCCAATTCATGTGTTTGTGTAGTGCCACCAGAATCCCAGATTGATGATGTGTATTCAAGTGATGGATGAATGTAGGTACTGTAAAGAAGCTTCTTAAGGGATGAAGGTGCCATGTAGAAGTTTCTGCCAAAACACCCGAGTTTACGGTTAGCTTTGGCAATGATGTACTTCAGATGATGGTTCCATGTGAGGTTATTTGAAATATGAACACCTAGATATTTGTAAGATGAAACAGTCTCGAGGTAGGTATCAATAAGATGATACTGTAGACAAACAAGTGAACTGCGGCACACACGCATTGCTTTGCATTTAGAAATGTTCAGTTCCATGTTCCATAATTGGCACCAGGTAAATATGTTATTTAGATCTGCCTGAAGTGAGGTAACATCGTCTTCGTTACTTATTTTTCGATAAATTATGCAATCATCAGCGAAAAGGCATACCTTTGATGAAACGTTAGTTGGCAAGTCATTCATGAAAATTAAGAACAGCAAGGGTCCCAACACAGAGCCTTGGGGATCGCCCGAGAGCATTGGTTGGACGGGGGAGCAAGCATTGTTAGCAGAAACAAATTGTGTTCGGTTAGAAAGAAAGGCTCGAATCCAGTTAAGCACGTTAGGATCTAGATTTAAATGTTTCAGCTTAAGAAGTAATAGCTTAGTATAATCGAAATCTTGTAGTAAAAAGTGGCTCAGAACTTCGAACACAGAAGCCTAAACACATTTGGGGGATAATTTTGCTGGTAAATATAACTATAAAAATAACAAATTTGCCGGCTTCACAATGGTAAAGTTTAGTGCCAATTCCTCACTCAGTATTGTCTAAATGTAGCCTTCTCAATTCAAATTCAGTTGTTCATATTTTACCCTCTGTACAATTTCTTTTACAGCAACGCGAAAACGACCTGATATTATCAGCAATTGCTCGCATGACAAGTGAGTAGCGGCTTACTTGGTGCTGCTGTTAAAGCTCTGACAATGAGAGCAACAGAACTGGGCTTTAAGAAATGTATATAATCTAAGACACCCTAGTTCAGAGTCGCTTTTAAAATTAAGGATCCAGAAGGTACTTTATTTTAGTTCTGTTATTACAATATTACTTTTTTTGAATGAAACAATAGCACAATTAACAAGAATACGGTTATGCGCTAGGCCATCATGGGCACCACAATGTTAACCTGTTCTAGGTACATCACATTAAGATTTTAAAAATATTTATTTAGGATAGTTGGGACACCCATGTGTCCGAGGGACATGAGGCGAGGGACATGTAGAGTTCTATTTAGGAGTGTTTACACCTTTTCTATGACTGGTACGGCGACATAACATGTGAAGAGACCAATGCATAGCGAAAGAACACCTGGGTGAATTGTAATCGTAATGATTTGATATGACGCCTAATACAAGTTATATGTATATGACACTGGGCCGGATAGTCAATGCTCTAATAGGCAGTGGTTTCCTTGTGAGATCAGCAGTATTGCTAAATAATAAATTTAAAAAATTATGCTATGTTACACTTGTTTCACAGGCTATCCTCAGCTCATGAATACCACTACAGTGCCCACTCACAGCACCGATGATGCACACAAAATGGCACTAAAAGTGAAAGTTGGGCTAGTTGGTGGCTCATACTTGGATGTAGAAGCAGCACAAATATACAGGCACAGATGTAGGAAGAGACGACAAGGCGCTGAACTCGCAAGTAAATTTTATTAGAAAGAACAGACACATATATCAGGTGAAAGACCTGGTCGCATGGCACACCATGGCGAGTGCGCAGCAGGGCAAACAGGGTACAAAGAACCATCTATTCACAAAGAAAATCGACACATGCGTAAATACCCAAGAAAAAGAAATGCGATAAAGAAATAATGACCACACTTATTTGCAAAAACATCCGTGACTGTCACAAAATACTAACATTCGCTTTAACCTGACAGCGCTGAACCCAGGTATCCAACCTCATTTTTCACCAAGTGCCACGGACGGTTTGCTCAAGTGTCTTTCCCCCTTCCTTTCATTGTAAAAAGCCTCCATCACCTCTCTAGTACATTTGTTCCGATGGCCGAACAATTGCTTCTGTCTGCCAATGGCTGGCAGCCACATTCCCTGCAATGAGCTGGCAAGTGCAGACTGCCAGAAGTTCTCAAAGAAGCTAAGTGCTCCCTAAGTCTAACAACGCACCACCCCGTTAGTCCTATGATACCGTCCCGAATGACAAAGGCAGCATATAGTACACAACACATGACTTACATTCTATTTATTTTATTTATTTATTGGTACCTCAAGGGTCCTGAGGGACATTACATGAAGGAATATAACAATAAACGACAATAAGAAAATACGAAATGTAAATACAAATGGCAGCAAGGGCAAAAGACTGGAAACAGCAATGGGCAAAAGATAATCAATTTTACAAAGGTAAGTCCGAAAACAGCAGTTTCATGTATTAGACTATGTGTTCGATAGTAGATTGAAAGCGCACTGCATCACGAACAAGTGCAACACCTCGTGGAAGGCAATTATAGTCTTGGGCAGTTCAGACGAAGAGGGACTGATGGAATGTAGTGGTGCTGGTATCGGGTGGAATTACTGCGTTCAGGTGGCCTGTTCGAGATGTACGATAAGTTAGTTGAATCAACCGGCTGTCACGAGGCATGGTGTGAAAGAATCTGTGGTAAAGGCATAGGCATGAGATGCGGCGATGAGAGGCAAGAGGTACTAGCTTCAGTTTAGACGTTAGAGACAAGACGCTTCTGTGATACGAGTACTCGGAAAGAATACACCTGGCCAAATGGTTCTTAACCGAATTGGAGAGCTTTAGTGAGATTAGATTAGTGGGAGTCAAAGATGGCACAGGCATATTCAAGTTTAGGTTGCACTAGCATTTTATGGGCAAGTAATTTTACGTGTGACTGAGCCATGTAAAAATTACGGCGAAGGTAACCAATCATTTTGTTAGCTGAATTGATAATGTGGGTTACATGATCCATCCAAGACAAGTCTTGAGACAGCTGAAGTCCTAGGTACTTGAAGGAATGCACATTAGCTATAATGCAGTTATTAATCTTGTACACAAAGGGTGCATAGTTGGGTCGAAGATTGAAATAAATGTTCGTGGTCTTACTGGTGTTCAGTGACATGAGCCATGTGGTACACCAGTCTTAAATACGAAAGAGGTCTTCCTGAAGAGTACAAACGTGGGAGAAGTTGTGGATAGGGCAGTACACGACGCAATCATCTGCAAAAAGACGTACTTCAGAGGTTATAGTAGATGGCAGGTCATTGATGTAGATTAGGAAGAGGAGTGGCCCAAGAACAGTGCCACGGGGAATGCCAGACAGAACGGGCGAAGTGGATGATGTGTAGTTGTTAGCATATACGAACTGTTTTCGGTTGGATAAAAAGCACTCAATCTAGTTGCGAACAAGTAGATTAACGCTTAGGCGCAATAATTTCAACTAAAGACTAGAATGAAAAACCTTATCGAAGGCCTTTTCAAAATCTAAGAGTAGAGCGTCAGTTGGAATGTTACTGTCTAAGTTTAAATGAATGCCATGAGTGAATAGAGCAAGTTGAGATTCGCATGAGTGACCTCTTCTGCAACCATGTTGATTTGGATGAGAGAAATTCACCGAGCTTAAGAAATGAGCAACGTGAGAGTAGTTGACATAATCCATGATCTTGGAGCATATGCTGGTGAGGGAAATGGGACGGTAGTTAGCAGGGCAAGACCGGTCACCTTTTTTGAAGACTGGAATGACCTTCCCTATCCTCCAGTGGTTTGGCACTGTACCTGTGTCAAGTGACTGGTCAAAAATGATGTATAGAATTGAACTGCACATATACTTTTTAGCAATTTCCCATTGATTCTGTCTATACCACAGGATGAAGAGCACTTCAGAGAGTCTATGACCTTAACAATGCCCTCTGCCCTGAATTTAATACCCTCCATTGGAGGAAAATTGAAATATGGAAAGTGTGGTAATGCATCTACACTTTTTTTTGTGAACACTGAACAAAATGCTAGATGCAGTGCATCGGGAACTTCGGAATCAGCAATGGCTGCCCCCGTGTTATCACATAATAAAATGGAACTATTATTATCAGGCTGCATCGCTTTCCGAAAACGCTGCGGGTTAGACTGCAGCACATTTGGTATGGTAGTGGAATAGTAGTCACGCTTTCCACGTGCTTTTAATGAGTTGTACTCTTTAACGGCCTCATTATATTTTTGCCAGGCCGAAGAAGAACCAGTTCATTTAGGAACTCGAAATAATCACTTTTTCTTATTATTAAGGCCCTTTAAAGACTTCTCATACCAGGGTGATTGCATTTTTTACTTTATAGTGATAGTTGGGATGTAATAATTCATTAAATGCAGCATTTCGACTTTAAATAGTATTCATATGCTCTCAGTTGATTGCTGCTAATACATAAGGGCAAGTTTCTGGTGAAAAACAGAAAGTAATCGGTTAATGCTCGAATAATTGGCCTTGTCGTACAGCGTAAGTACTTTTTTAGATTTCTTGCTTTTTAAGACGTTGCAATGAGATGTTGCATGGATGATGTTGTGGTCGCTAAAACCACTATTATACGTAAGGGGGGCACATTATCAGGGTGTGACATGAAAAAGATATCCAAGATAGTTGACGAGTGTTGGGTTACTCGGGTAGGTTTAGTGACCAGCTGTGAGAGGCCAAAAAGCAAGCATGTTTTTACAAAATTTCTAGCCATGTTATTTTGTGCAAGACATGATGCAACAATGCTCCAATCTGTTGAAGAAAAACTGAAATCGAATAATAAGACGGGAGTGTTGGGATATGTTGTTGTTAGTTCTAACAATGCTTCGTGCGAAGATGAAAGAAAAGAGCTATCAGCGGTTGGTGGACGATAGCAACAGCCGATTAATATACGCGGTGAAGTGGCATGCCAGCACGTCCAAGTCATTTCTAAAGAAGTTATTATATTTATGGCAGAGCACTTAAGCAAACGAGCTGTGGTAATAGCCACACCACCCCACGGTTATCATCAAAGCGTTCTTTGCAAAAGATTGTCAAAATCTGGCAAATCAGGAAGAATGTCGGAGTCAAGTATGTTGGAGGTTAGCAAGGTTTCCGTCAACAGAACGAGGTTGCTAGAAGAAAAAGAGATCAAGGTGCATAACGGATCCCATTTAGTTATTAGGCTGGGAATGTTAGTGTAATGCAGCGAGAGATCATGCTTAACACTCTGATTCGGCCTTCGTGGCTTTTGTGCTCAATGCTAGGATTGACGTTCGACAAAGAACTGCTTAGCCTGATCATAAACATCACAGATAAGCTTGTCATAACAGAGTTTATACGGGGAGTGCTGCACTTTACTAAATTCTATAAGGCGTCTTCTGGCTGAGCGAATTTCCGGGGGAAGCCTTCACTGATGCCGTAATCTGTGCCTTTTAGCTAAATGCTAGATGAAAGGAGCACTTATTTATCCTTAAAGTGTACAAATTCGACATATCCATTCTTTCTCTTTTCCGAGAAGTGCGCTTTCTTGGTGATTGCTCTATGCCGTAGGATTTTAAAAAGGTTTTAAAACTGGTACCCAAGTTCACGTTTGAACCCAACGTTCCACCAGCAGAAAAAGTTGCTTTTTCATGGAACATTTCCTGGTATGTGCCTGAAGGCGGATAAATAAGATGCGTGTCTGATTGTATCAATGTGTGTATTCAGACATCGTTGGACAGGTGAAAGCCTTTGCCTGATAAGTCCGTCATAGAATTTTTGGAGGCGAATAGTCTTAGAGTATGCCTGTCCGATAAGGAGACAATGTTTGTGATAATGAAACTGGGTGTTTTAAATGAAAAATCTGAGGCAGATGTTTCAAAGAATTTCATAAGAGTGGATGTTAAACCTGGGAAGGTGAAACAGCATGCCATTACTATGTTGCAAGATAGGAATCTGTGTAGGCTCGTCAGTAGAGTAAGAAGGCCAAAGAATTAAACTTGCAGGTTTTTTTATCAGTGAGAACCCATAAACTGAACTCACCATTCAGAGCCATTATATCAGAAAAAGGGACTTGGCTGTCCAAGATATTGACGTACTTGCAAATGCACCTGAAAGGCTTCAATGTAGTCGATTCTTTTACAGTTAAGAATTCTGAAGGTGTTGTGGATTTCCTCAGAACTAGTAACCAGGGATCTTGTTTGACATTTAGCATCGACATAGAAGACTCGTTTTACTCCTTACCATATGGTCAACTTCTGCAGAGCATTAAATCTTGTGGTGTTTCCTTGGACAGGTTTTTGGAGCTGCTGGCATTTTACCTGTGGTCTTTGTTTATAAAATGGAAAGGGGGCATTTATGTCCAGAAATCTGTTGTTTACATTGGATCTAAGGTGGCTTCGATTTCGGCAGGTCTGTTGCCGCGAAGTAAACCAACCTGTCCTGCTATATTTTTTGGTATGGCGATGATGTTTTAATTTTAATTAAATCCCACAGTCTGCATAGCACAAGAAATGATGTATTCAACATTGTTAAGCATTCTGGCCATCGGCTGAAGTTCACCTACGAGCTGCCGGAAAAAGGAGTGCTTCAGTTTCTAGATATTAGATTGCACTTTCATGAGGAATATTGGCGTTGACTGTAAAAGCCCCGACCTGTAAAGGGTATACTGCCATTTACCTCAGGCTATTCTAAGATAATCAATTACGGCATCATTTAGCTGCGCTCCAAAAACTTGTACGCATGAGATAAAACAAAATGTCTTGAGCCAAGTTGAAAGGCTGTAGTCTGCGGGCTACCATAATACAGTAGCCCGCCAAAAACTTGTCAGGTGGGTCAAAGGTGTAAATGAATTGCGTAGGACAACAGAACAAGTACACAATGTAAAGAGACTGGTAGTTGTCCCCTATGTGCATAAGTTTTCTCATATCTTGAAAATTGTGGCCAGTAGGTATGGGTGCAAATTGTGATGTTAGCTCCCAAAAAGTTGTCCTCTATTTGCTCCCAAGTGCATAAACGTTTGGTTTTTCACAAGACCTGTTTGTTCTGTCCAGAAAAGAGAAAGAATAGATATGTTGAATGTATGTCGTGTGTTGTGTCTATGCTGCCTTTGTCATGCGGGAGGGTTTATGTAGGAAAAACGGGGCGGTGCGTTAATGTTAGATATAGGGAGCACTTAGCCTCTTAGAGGACTTCTGGCGGTCTGCACTTGCCATCTCATTGCAGGGAGTGTGGCAGCCAGCCGTTGAGGGACAGAAGCACTTGTTTGTTTGTCCGTCGGGACAAATGTACTTGAGAGGTGATGGAGGCTTTTTACATTGAAAGGGAGGGGGAAAGACACGTGAGCAAACTGTCCATGGCACTTGGTGAAAAGGAGGTTGGATACTGGTTTCAGTGCTGTCACGTTAAAGTGGATGTTAGTATTTTGTCACAGTCATGCATATTTTCCGAAGTAAGTGTGATTTCTTAATATTTTGATTACTTACTATTATTATTAGATTAGTTATTATAAGATAATTTGTTTTTCGCTTTTTTTTTCTTAGGTATTTATGCATGTTTTGATTTTCTTTGTTTGTTCTGCTGCGCAGTCGCCATTGTGGGCCATGCGAGCAGGTCTTTTACCTGATATACGTGTGTGTTCCTTCTAATAAAATTTACTTGCGAGTTTGAGCGCCTTGTCATCTTTTCTTCCGTCTATGTCTGTATATTTGTGCTATTTCTACATTCAAGTACGCAAAATATTTTACTTTCTCAGCTCCTTAAAGCAATTCAACGTAGATTAGTGCCCTGCAGCTGGCGTTTTAATACCTTGTACCATTTAACACATCCTAAAGTGCACTGGGGTGTCAGCTGGGCAAGCTCGTTCAATGCTAGGGGATGAGAACCAGGGTGATGTACATAACAAAAGGAAGGATGAGCCGAGCACTTGTCTGCTGTTTTTCTTGCTTGTTGTTTTGCCATCTATGAAGGATTAGTGTGTTGGAAAGAAAAAAACTATGAATTCGTTGTTTTTTTCTGAACATACTATTATTTACATATAACTAGTAATAACTGGTTGACCCTCCATATTTTTTCACGATGAAGATTTCTCTATTACATGCCTTAGGTGTTAATACATGCCATTAATAAGCTCAATGCCCAGCTATGTGCATGTCAGAGGCCTGTTCCCAATGCCCCAAGTTTCAGTTAGTGAAGGATTAAGAACTACATATGAACAAGTGATTACTTATGGAAGCAATCACTTCAGTTCTAAAAATGTCTAGAACATTTACTATGTTTAAAAATCTTGTTCAAATTTCTCAAAAGTACAGTATAATTTAGCTTTTTTTTTCTAAATCTTTCAGGTCCCATTCCAGCGAGTCGACAACACGACTTCTAGGGGCTCGTCTCAGACAACCATAAAAATCAGCCACCTGCAGAAAATAAATTCATAGCTTAAGAAGACATTGTCAAAATTGGCAAGAGAAAGATTAAAAAGCTTTTTAAGACACCTTGAATGCTATCAGGCCCTACGTCCCCAAGATATCCTGTACATATATTGAGACGTCAGCTCCAGTTATTTGTGTGAAACACAAAAGAAGGAGGTGGTTGCTCGAGCACTGCTAGTTCGCTTCAAACTTGTACTTTCATGATTTGAAAGGGTACAGACATCTGTAAAAATTGCTTGACGTGCCAACTGTAAGGTTAATAAAGCAGTGGTTATCAAATATTTCAGTGACTCTTGAATTTATTTCAACTGTTATTGAAGCCCTCAGAGAAGCTACCTGATAAAGGCATTACACTGATCATGCATGCACATTAATATTTGCCGAAATATTATTGAAGGAACCTCTGCAGCATGATACAAAGCGTGATGTTGTGATGGAATTATCAGATAATGGTGCGTGAAAAACAGTAGCTAGGAAAATTCAGGACTGCTGATACTTGTGGCAAGCATTTCGAAAGCATCGATTCAGCCTGTAGCTTACACAGTATTAAGGACCAAAATGTCCACAGATACTCTTCATCATGTAATCATAACATTAATCAAGCAGCTGCAGAGAGCGCAGTTGTTTGTGAAGGCGCTCATCTGTGACTAGTGGAGGAATATCACTTTGGCAAATAAACTGGGTGTGACACCTGAGTAGCCGTTTTTTTGGGGGCTTGAAAGTTCGTAAGATTTATTTTTTATAATATGATACACCACACTTACTTAATTGCACAAAAATAATCTCACTCGTAATTCACAAGCTTCATATTGGACAAGAAATTTTTCATTGGTTTTTCATTACGCAACTACAATACAGAAGTTTGTAACCTCTCAAACTCGCATCGGTGAAGAAACTAAGGCAACCACATTTACCGGAAGCCTTTTATTAAGATCAAAGTTAAATATGCTGACCAAGTGATGAGTGAATTTATTGTAGTGGCCATTGATGTATTCATTCCTCTTGGCACGTTGCCCACATCTGCCAAATAAACAGCAGATTTTTTTGGGTAAGTTGGGTAAGTTATTCAACTGTCTTAATAACTCTTCTGTTTAAAAACAGGAAATAAAGACAACTTTGGTGGCAAGTTATGTTATGCAATTTTGGAAATGTCCGAGCAATGATCTTTTTTGCAGGAGTGCCTGTCATGGGTTTTAGCTTTGATGGGCCTTGGCAATCGCATTCAATTGAGACATGGAAAGTCACCCTAAAGGCTGTCCTTCTCCTATAGGATGACCTTTTCCAACATTTTGATTTTTGTGTTCTCTCAACTCACTGGCTACAGCAGGACCCCTTGGAGAATCTTTTCGGGTTGCTTAGGTTAGAAGCATGGCTTCCATGGCAACCCAAATGTACTTCAGTTCACATTGGGTCTGAAACGCATTTCTATTGGCAAACTGTTTACTCTTTTTTCAGAAGGAAACTGTGAACAGGATCGTAGCACTGTGTTGGCTCAAATGTCAGAGCCGCCTCATTCACTTGCTACTACTTGTGATGCAGCATTAACATTTGATATGCTTCCTCATAAGGAACAGCCAACTAGGCATGACTTAGCAGAGGATAATGTTTTCTCTTATGACGGGCGATATCCTTTGCGACAATTTTTGTTACACAGGCTTCCACACTATGTGTTGCATCCTTTTGAAAATTCTGATTGCCAGCTTTCTGGATCACGCCAGTATTTTGCTATGTTTAAGACAAGCAACATCTCAGATGTATTTAAAAATGTAACAGTGTTGGAGAGTCATGGCTTAAAATGTGTGTTTGAGCAAAATGGTTGATGTGAAGCAATGGAGCGCTGAGAAAATGGTCCACAAACAAATGGCACCTCACCTGTGTGCTTTGTGTTTAGGTCACCATGTCTTAGGTCGCCATGTGACGTTGAGCTCCGATGTGCCAGGTTGCCAGTCGCTACGCTGACTGGCAACCTGGCACATCGGAGCTCAACGTCACACTACATAAGCTACCGCCCCTGCATACCACCTTGGGATCTGGCGCCGACATGGCTGCTGGTCACTTGCGCCTCATACTTCTTCAGGTTCTGCAGATGGTGTCGACTTTCCACGTATCCGGAGCGGGGCGGCTTTTCGACCACGCAGACGGTGCCGCCTCGGATGTATGTCCTACCCTGCACTTTTTCACTGAAGCGCACCTTCCTTTGGATATGACGGCGCTACCGTCGCTGTTCGACTGTCGCTACGCTGACTGGCAACCTGGCACATCGGAGCTCAACGTCACACTACATAAGCTACCGCCCCTGCATACCACCTTGGGATCTGGCGCCGACATGGCTGCTGGTCACTTACGCCTCGTACTTCTTCAGGTTCTGCAGATGGTGTCGACTTTCCACGTATCCGGAGCGGGGCGGCTTTTCGACCACGCAGACGGTGCCGTCTGGGATGTATGCCCTGCCCTGCACTTTTTCACTGAAGCGCATCTTCCTTTGGATATGACGGCGCTACCGTCGCTGTTCGAATGTCGCTACGCTGACTGGCAACCTGGCACATCGGAGCTCAACGTCACACTACATAAGCTACCGCCCCTGCATACCACCTTGGGATCTGGCGCCGACATGGCTGCTGGTCACTTACGCCTCGTAGTTCTTCAGGTTGGTTTTTTCTATAGCCCTGTTAACGGTAAACCATTTCGAAAAATGGCGCCAGATCCCAACTCCGCCTTGTACTTTTGTACGCGCAGCATTACTTTTGTGCGAATCAAGTGTTTGTTATGTGTATGTTATCTGCGAAAACTACTGCAGCTTACAGGTGATGTAGAACAAAACACAGGCCCTCTGACTTCTGAGCAAGAAGAACAAATGTTCACCGCTGTCATGGCAATTCCCACGGTACTGCAAAAGCAGACGGAAATTCTTGGAGAACTTCGTTCCGTAGCGTCACGGCAAGAAGCACTCGAGCAAAGGTTTTCGCAGATAGAGGACAAATTGAACGTCTTTGAGGAAAAATTGCTATCGGTGCTTCCATTAAGGGACAAGGTGATGCAGTTAACTGCAGAGACCGACAATCTTGCTGCCACGTTTTCGAAGCTGCAAGAATTGGAAGATGATATGAAAAATAGATCTCGAAGAAACAACCTTATCTTTTTTGGCTTTCAAGATGCAGCTGGTGAAAGCTGGCGAGATACGGAGACTAAGGTGATCGCCTTTTGCGAGGAAAAGTTAAAAGTCGCTATTTCGGCTGATGCGGTTGAGAGGGCCCACGTGTTTTATCAACTACTTCGAGGTTGAAAGGTACAAGCTTTGCTATTAGCGAAGACTATAGCAACACAGTTCGACAAGAAAGGCGGAAATTATTTCAATTTGCGAAGAGTAAGGGAGGGGACTTCAGACTATCGTATAACAAACTAAAGATTGGCAAGGAAACTTTTGTCTATAATGCTGAAACAGACAGCGTGACTAAAACCAAGACATAGCTACTAAATAAGGCCCTCGTAACTTCTAGGCAACCATCCAGCCCGGAGGACATCGTGTGTATTGTGGTAAATTGTCGTAGCGTAAAAAATACAATTATAGAATTTGCCACCCTCATTGAAACGACAAAGCCACATGTAGTACTTGGTTCTGAATCTTGGTTAGACGACACAATAAATGACAATGAAATCTTTCCAATCTGCTACACAATCTACAGGAAGGACAGAAACACGCATGGGGGAGGTGTTTTCATTTTGATTCACAATACTATATCTAGCTTCCTCGTTGACGTTGAAGCTGGCTCAACCGAAATTGTTTGCTGCAAAGTACTCTTGAACAACGGCTCGTCTGTGACATTCGTTTCCTTCTACAGGTCACCCAGCACGAAAGACCCTCAGCCCCTTTTCAATTTAAGCAATGTGCTGCTGACACTACAAACTACATATATTGTTTTGGCAGGTGATCTTAATTTACCAGATGTGATATGGCAGCAGCTTACACCAGTGTTAGTCAATTCATCCCTCCTGTACACGACCTTCCGTTCCGCGAAATGATAAATGCCCATTCGTTACTACAGTTTGTGCAAAAACCAACGCGAATTATGGCTAGTAGTGCAAATGTACTTGATTTATTTCTTTGCAATGTGCTTGATCTCGTGTCTTCGATTACCTTGATTCCTGGTATTAGTGATCATGATGTTGTCGTCGCTAAAATGTCCTGTGCCACCAAGAATTGTCGTTCTGCGCAGCCTCGCAAGGTCTTTTTTTATAAAAGAGGCGATTACGCAACAATATCATGTGAACTAGACAATTTTTTCCCAGAGTTTAGAGCTCAATGTTCGCGTCTAGACATGACATAAATGCATTGTGGGATCTTTTTTTAAGACTAAAATACTGTCCTTGACACAAACCTTCATTCCCTCGCATGTCATTACTTCCCAGCGTCAAAACGATAAACCATGGATTACTAAAAAGATTCGTACGATGTTAAACGGGAAAAATAGAGCCTTTCGTAAGCACTGCCACTCGCCGAATCCTACATTGTTCGCAAAGATGAAGGTAATGAGCAAAACGATAGCGAGATTGATGCGCAATGCACATAAAAAGTTTCTTTTCACTCTAAGACACAAAGTGAAAACTAATCCGAAAGAAATGTGGAAATATGTCAAGAGCAAAAATAACTCTGGTGACGCTATCCCTGACGTCATAGATGAAAAAGCCTACGGCGCAGATATTTTGGCAAAAGCAGAGGCCTTCAATGCTTATTTTCACTCCGTGTTTTCATGCTCAAAAGCCGCACTTTTGAAATCACATGACGTCAGAGAGCTTACTCAGATGAGGGAAATTGAGCTGTCTGAAGATGGTATCGCATTATTACTACGGAAGATAAACATCCAATTGGCTACCAGTCCAGACTTTATTTCAAATTTTGTCCTAAAGAACTGTGCATTGTCTGGCACCCCTTTCTTAATACTGTTATTTAAGATATCTCTTCAAGTTGGTGCTCTACCTTCGGACTGGAAAACTGCAAATGTTATTCCAATTCACAAAAGTGGTTCAAAAACAAGAACGTGCAACTACAGGCCAATTTCACTCACAAGCGTTGCTTGTAAAACATTAGAACATGTTGTTTACACAAATTTAATGGCACACCTTCAAGAAAATAGCTTCATTATTCCAACGCAACATGGCTTCAGGGCTGGCTTTTCTTGCGACACTCAGCTTGTAGAATTTCGTCATGACATCGCAGCATTTATTAACTCAGGTTTGCAAGTTGACTGCATCTTTTTAGACTTTCGGAAAGCTTTCGATACCGTATCTCACACCCTGTTACTACTAAAGTTGTCCTACCTCAACTTGCCGAGCACCCTCCTGAAGTGGTTGGAAGCGTACCTGTTAGATAGAAAACAACGCGTGATACTCCATGGTGTCCGCTCTTCTGATGTCTTTGTATTATTTGGAGTGCCACAGGGGTCCGTCTTAGGGCCCCTGCTTTTTCTTATATTTATCAATGACCTTACTGAACACTTGTCTTGCCGTGTGAAGTTATATGCAGATGATTGCTGTATTTACCGTGGAATTCCAAGTGAATCAGATAGTCAACTGCTACAGAACGATCTGAACAAAATCATGTCTTGGTGTTCGACTTAGAACATGACACTCAACCTGTCCAAATGCAACCTCTTAAGATTCACAAACAAAAGACACCCGCTGATGGCAAGCTATGTCATGAATTCAACACAGCTGTCCCTTGTAACAGAATATAAGTACTTAGGAGTCATTTTTTCTAGCAATTTGACTTGGAATCCCCACATAAATTACATCGTAACAAAGGCCAGCAACACATTAAACTTCTTAAGACGTAACTTTAAACAAGCACCGGCCAGCCTGAAAGAAATCCTGTATATGTCGAATGTACGCCCACTTTTGGAATACGCGTGTAGCACGTGGGACCCTTTTACTAAGGTGAACATCGACGCTCTAGAACGCGTGCAGCTGAGAGCGGCCCGTTTCATCACGGGTGATTACAACTTTTCTAAAAGATCTTTCGAAATCAGGAGTGCTTTAGGATGGCCCCTTCTTGAAGACAGGCGCAAATTCTTACGTTTATCTCTGTTTCACAAAATATTCCATGGTTTAACGGGTATTCACAAAGAAAACTACATATCGGAGCCTACGTATATATCTGCTCGTACTTGCCCCCTTAATCACCCCCTTAAAGTGCGCGAGTTCGCTACCAGAATTAACCTTTTTAAATATTCATTTTTTCCGTGATCAATTAAGCAATGGAACAAACTACCTCATGAAATTGTAGCCGCGTCCAGGGAGACATTCGCCACTGCGCTGGAACATCATATTTTATCGTAGCCTGAGCACACATTAAAGTTGCCTACACTTTCGTTTCATCTCTCTATCGATCTACGCTTCAGCTTTTTTTTTTCGCCTGCTTTTATCTGTGTGTGTATATATATGTATATATATATGTGTGCGTATGCATTTTATATATATATATAAATATATATATATATATATATATATTTCTTGCTGCTGTACCTTCACACACGTCAACGTTTATTACGTGTCACCATTGGATGCTTTATTATGTATCTGTATTTCTTTTATGTTCAACTCAGTGTTAATGGACTGTCGCCTTTCTGCATTTCGAAATCGTTATCTCCCCCCTACACTAACGCCCCTCGCGGGCGCTGTAGGTACTGTAAGTAAGTAAATAAGTAAGTAAGCACTCGTTTGGCATCACTGGAGAGTGTTCTTAGAGCTCAAGCGTGCTTGAATCGTACGGCGATCTTCTGATCTGCAAGTGCTGAAACCGGCCCCCTCTTTTAAAGGTGAACGATAAAAGCAACGCTACCGGGACGTGGAGCTAAGCTTCGGGACTAATAGTACAGTGTTCTAGAAGGGAGTAGTGGTACGGTGTTCTAAAAGGGGGTAGTGGAATCAGCAGCCGGAGCGCTCTACACATTGAAGCGAGGCGGCGAGTGCGGACGAGACTCGGATGTTGGTGGCGACGCTGTAGTCGCGTGGGCTGGCTGGCGTGGCTGCCGCTGGTGCTTCGCATGCTTGTTGTGACGGCAGCACGCACGGACGGATGAACGCACCCAGCAATCAGCCTATACGCGTGCAGTTCCTGATTGTCATTAATTGCCTGTAATTTTATAACTTTGCTAAGACCGTACGCTCGGAGAAAGTTGACCTTAGCAGAGCTAGTGCAACAATAGTTCGCTCCTGAGTGCGTAAGATCCTCCTGGTCAGGAAGCCAGGGTTCCTGCAATGGACCATCTGATTGAAAAAGGGCTCTAGTATCAGCTGAATGCATGTTTCGGAGTATTCCTGCAGAGCACAGAGAGTTAGTAGAGCAGAAGAGCGATGACCGTCCAGTACATTATATGGCAGGTTATGTTGCTCGAAATTATGTTTCTGAAGCGTTATGACTGTATGCCCTGCAAGATTTTTTTGGAAGCCCCTCATACGGAAAACTGAAACACTGAGCTCACTGTGATATGTGACAATAGAGGCTTGTTGTATCCCTCACAGGAGCCTTTTAGGCCAGCTAAGACATCTTCATTGTGTTTTTCAGCCGAGAGAAACTCTGCAAGGACAGCACTAATGGATGTGGTGTTGCTGGTGAAGGAGAAGAACTTCCGTAATGTCTTGGGTTGCAGCCAGCATCCAGATGCGCTTACGACAGAGTTGACCAAGTTCTATGTGCTGACCATGCTGCATTTAGGACTCAACAAATCGCGACATGAATGGCGTAAAAAGAAATTGCATGCAAAGATCAACCGTTCCTCCTAATGCCTCTCTCGTTGCAGCCATGTACTTTGAGAACACTACTGTGGTGTTTTGTACCAATAAAGTTTTTTTGTTGCCAGTCTCATTTTTATTTTTTTTACTACGTCATAAAACTTCGCTATCTCGGGTCACTACTACAGCCGCGCCATAGCGGCATCGTCGTGGGGCACTTATTAAATCGCAATCTTTCAGTGGATATGTACAAACGTAAACAAAACCGCTCGTAATGAAATTGATATAGGACATATGTTCCGTATGTGTTAGTACATGCGGCGCCGCAGTTGCTTGGCTTAATCGAACTTGTGAATGCGATTGAGACCTAACGTATGACAATTGTCAATGGAAAATGATAAGGACAATTTAACCATTCAAATTTTTACGTCTACAGTGTTCGCGAGCCTTTAGTTTACCAATCGGCCACATCGTCCTGCGCCCGTTTTCTGCACTTGTTCGGTCAGCTTTATTTTCACGCTAGCTTAAAACGTCCGCCTGTCCAAGTTTCTCTGCGCTTGTCTTAACTCAGAGGAAGTTTTCAAAAACATTCTGAATAACTCCGCGTTTCCTTTTTTCGGTGAAACACCAAGCGCACACTGCTTTCTGCGCATTGCTGAGGCTCTGCGTTTCGCGTTCCGTACAGCCCACGCGCTGGTTGAGGCATCCCGGAGCGTCTACGTCAGATGTCACATCGGCGCGCTCTCCCTGATCCCACTACTCCCTTCTAGAATGCTGTAGTAATGGTACAGTGTCTAGAAATACACTGCTTAGTGTGCTGAGCGTGGGCTAGGAGATAGCCCCACAGCTGATGACTGCCGGCGGTACTCGCATGGTGTGCTGCTGTGCGAGTGGAAACCTTTTCTGCAAGTGACGCTCTCCAAGCATGGCAAGAATACTTAAACTGCAAACAGGCTATACAGACAATAGTCCAAAGCAAAATCGCCGAACACAACAGCCGAAAACTCCAATCTTTCACAGCGGACGGACGCAATGAAGCCAGGAAGTTTTGGGCCTACATGTCGTCCCTGAGTGGGAAAGCCAAGGTACCCCAAATTTGGCATGAGGATACAGGACTGCCAGTATCGGACATGGACATGCGTAAACTGTACGATTTTAGCAATGGCGATCCAGAGATCATAATAACTGACGATAACCCCATCAATGAATACTGCCTGAGCAATAAGGTGAAATCGGAAGTGACCCAGCCCTGGACAGACCGATTAAACGCATAGGAGCACACACCGCCCGAGCGCTGGACGGCATACCTGCGAGGCTGCTCAAATGCTTAGGAGACGAGGCCAGGCAAAAGCTGGCAGATGTCTTTTCAGGCATGATGTCAGATCTAATACCAGAGGATTGGTGATGTGGCCGAGTGAACCTGGTGCCGAAGAGGGGAGGAGATGCAGGGTTGCTACGTGAGTACAGACCCCTCACAGTAACCAGCGTGCTATACCGAACTTTCGCACAAATATTAAAGACGTGGATGGGTGGCTGGGCAGAACACGACCACAAATTGACGGAGCTGCAGAATGGTTTCTGCAGCGGACAGCGCTTCGAGGACAATGTATTTGTGCTCACCCAGGCTATCGAGATAGCACGAAAGGAGAACAGAGGACTGTACACTTGTTTTCTCGACGTCGCCAAGGCATATGATAGCGTACCGCATGGACCTCTGTTTCACTGCATGACGCAGATTGGCAAGCCGAGGACGTGGGTTGGTCTGCTGCGACGGCTGTACACGGACAATACGGTGGTGGCTTGTTTTGCCGAAACCCAAGCCGAACCAGTGACGGTAAAGCGGGGTCTCAAACAGGGATGTTCATTATCGCCGCTGCTCTATATGCTGTATACGGCCAGCCTCGAGAGGGCGCTGCTGACGGATGGAGGTGGGGGACGGATTGAGAGAAATGGGGGAAGAGCGTTGGGCTAGGAAGGTTTTCAGCTACTTATACTTAAAGAATGTCGATACGAAATGGAGGAAGCGAACCAGGAAGTTGACTGGTAAATACTTAGAAAACAGCAGGTGGCCAAACCAAAAAGAACTGTCGGTTAAGAAGAAAGTGAAGGAAACTGAGACTGACATGTGGAGAATGGGCATGATTAAGAAGTCCGCACTAGAGACCTATCGAACCTTTAAGCAGGAAATTGCCAGAGAAAGGATCTATGATAATACTCGGGGTAGTTCTCTACTGTTTGAGGCCCGGACGGGAGTACTGCGAACCAAGACATATCGGGCCAAATACGAAGGGGTAGACACAGTATGCAGTGCGTGTGGAGAGGAAGAAGAAACTGCCGAACACTTGATAATGTTCTGTAAAGGGCTTCACCCTATAGTTCAGGATGATGGCGCGGCGTTTTTCAAAGCACTGGGGTTTAGGGACCAGGAGGGCAAAATAGACTTTAAGCGGGTAGACTTAACTAGAAGGAGGTTATCTGATTGGTGGCTAAAGTCGAGGCACGAGTGAAAATTAAACTCTTCACTGCAAAGTACGAATCCTCAAACTCACTTTTTAACAAAAAAAAAATAAATATAGTTTTTGGTTCATTAGGTATTACGGCTTGGTGGCGCTGGCCACCGCCCGATCTAAAGGGTACAGCCATATCCATCCATCCATCCATCCATCCATCCGGTGGGACAAGTCATAGGGACAATTGGTGTCAGAAAGATCATGGTTAAAAAGACCGTAAAGTGTTCAGGATGTGGGGTGGGTTTGAAAGTGGACCCAAATGTGGAAGCGGATGAAGAAGAGGCTGATGTGAAGTGTAGGCGATGTGAGGTCGAGAAAAAAATGGAGAAAATGATGGTTGCCCAGAGTGACCTGCTGATCAAAATCACCGAGCTCGATACTGCGTTGGCGACAGAGCAAGAGAAAACGAGGGCTATGGGAGAAAGGCTGAAGCCCGCCGAGGAAGCACTGGCCAAGGTGAACAGAGGAGCGGCCTATGGAGAAAACAGTAGGGAACCGGCAACCTGAACGGCGGAGAAGAAAGAGCAAGTAAGTTTGGAAAAAACAGGTTCAGCTGGTTCAATTGTCGCAAGGCCCAGCTTCAGCGAAGTAGTACGTGGTGGGGCTGGGAGGGGACAAAGCAGCCGACGTCACAGGTGCAAGTAACTCCCAGGTACAGGACGCTCCAGCTGAAAAGTCGCAGCATGTGATAATCGCTGGGGACTCGAATTTAAATTGATGCACAGAAGCCATCGAATAGAGGGTAAGAGGTGACAAGAGGGTTGCAGTGGGGGTTGCAGTGGGTTCCCAGGACGCAGGCTGGAAGCAGCCATGAGGCAAGCGAGCGAAAAACTCAAAACGACAGCTCATAGACGAAACCTCGTGATAATTTCAGGCGGTTTAAACGATGTCCTAAATGAAGATACAGCAGGACTAGCAACCACACTGGCGAAAGAATTCGATGACATGCGCGCCACTTCTCCTCAGGTACAGGTAGCGATATGCACGATACCGAAGGTACCGGTGCGTGATAGCAACCTGCAAAGAGCGGTTGTCAACGCAAACCAAAAGATATGGCGAATGAGTCGAGAGAAAGACTTTGAGGTGGTGCAAATAAACAGAGATGTGCATATATATGTGGGGTGGTTTTCTTCGAGACAGCATTCAATTCGATGGGCGGCTAGGTCATGAGGTGGGTTGGTGACTTGCAGGACGCTCAGTAGCTCTTTTTGGAGGGCAAGCGAGCCCTTCGGGGTGCAGGATAGCTAGTAACGAGGAAAATAACCGCGGAGACCCTTTGACAGGTGGTGTGGACAGATACGATTCCAAAGTGGCACCAGTATCTAAGATAGGTAGAGTCCGGAGAAGAAATAGACGTAGCCACGAGCGCCGAGCCAATTCAGACATAGGGTATAATAACATGCAGGGTGGTAGGAAGGGAGGAGAGGCCGATGGTATACGGTTTTGTAGAAACACATCTCAGGGACATGGAACAACCTCCTAACAATCCGGACTAAACGTGGAAATATAATAATAAAATAGAAGGCAGCAAAAAGGGGGTTGGTATTGGGGCATTCATTCATAAAAGTTCAGACTGGCAAAGGGTCAAGCAGAAGTGCAAGGAACATTTATGGCTAAAAGGGAAAGTGGCAGGGCAAATGACACTCCTAGGAATGTCATTTGCCCTCAAGTACACGAAACCAAGTTGGTTTCTTTTACTTGTGGACGGGAGCAAAGGCCAGAGAGGAAAACCAGGCAATGGTAGAGTGTATATGAAATGACATTCAGGAGTTAGGAGGATAGTGCGAGATAATTTTACTGGGAGATATGATTGCGCACATAGAAGATATAGATGGGTATACCGACCCGACAGGCAAAATGATCATAGATATGTGTGAAAGGCTTGATTTGTTCATTTGCAACAATACCGAGAAGTGTGAAGGGCAAATAACATTGGAGGTTGGAAGGCTGCAGTCAACAATAGATTACGCACTGATGTGACATAGGATGTATGATAAGCTCAGGGGAATGCACATAGATGAAGGTGGCTCCAGAAGTCTGGGTAGTGATCACAGACGTATCAAGCTAAGTTTTGGAAGAGCAGTGAAAGTGGGAAGAAGACAAGATGAGCAACTACAGGAAAATTTTTATTCAGAAAGGCAAATTGAAATAGCCACTAAAATTTGAGAAAGTAATCACAGTGGATAATAAAACAGTGTGGACATACACGAATCTGATTAGACTGTTTGAGATAGAGCTTGCTTAGGCACGTGACAAGTCACCACGGAAAAGAAGACGCAGACCCAAATTTGGTGGGATGAGGAAGTTAAGAGAGCCATAGCAAAACGCCAGGACGCCTCTAAGGGGCATGCTAAGCAGCGGGGTGAACTGACAGATGTTGTTGAAAGAAAATGGTAAATCTTTCTAAGCTGTAGAAGGGATGCATCCATTCTCACCAATGAAAAGATTAGAAGGAAGAGAGCTCAGTGGCTGGCAGAAGTACATAAAAAAGATAGAAAGGCAGCTGCGAAATTTCGGAACCATCTAAACTCCCTAAGAAATGAGACGAGCTTAGAGCAGAGGTTTATAACTACAGCACAAGGTGCTAAGCTAGAAGGGGACGAAGCTATTGAATATATA